TTTCGATAAATTTCTTTTATTCACGACAAAATTCGAATCTAAGTTTGGAATTATTTTGGTTTGCTCTACACGTATACGTACTCGTTTAATAAAAATATTAGATTGAGGCACATATTATGTGTTTTATTACTTTGGTCTTGTTAGCAACTCTAGTCATTTCTGGATGCCAAAGTTTTTAAACAAAATTAAAACTTAATGCACATTTTGCGGCAATAAAAATTTTTACTCCATTTGCACTTGTAGTGCTGTTTACAGAGCGCAGTGCTGTTCGCAGTAAAATACTCGTAATAACAATGCAGCAAATAAATAAAAAGATCTTAATCCATTGTCAGTGATAATTTGACGCATCCGTGCACATATTTTATTTTTGCAGCACAGTTTTCAGAACAGAAATTATATGAAATAAAATATGAAGAAATAAAATAAGTGAAAAACATTAAATGCTGAGTGCAACATCGAGTTGCTTCCCATTGCTGAGAAAGTTCTCTGGCACACAATTGAACCCTTGGGAGGAAATATGCCACAAATGTGGCACAAGGCACTCAATCGTTGAGATATTTTACTGTCTTTACTGCATTCTGTGCATTCCACACTTTGTGCTGCCATTAGAAATGTCATGTTTGCAGCTAAAATGCAATCGCAACCGCATTGATACCATGCATAAGCACACTCAACTGACATAGTGAAATAATTTCATGTTCAAAACTTTTAATAACATTGGTTTATCTTCTGACATGCTTCGAATAAGTTCTATCATAAACATATAAAGTAAAAAATGTTAAAAGCATTAAACTTAACGAATTACTTAAAATTATTGTAAAATGTTGCGTTTGTTGAAAACACAACATTTGAAAACACTTATACGAATATGGAGGTAATCGATTTGCTAACGTAAGACCTCAATATAAAATCTATTCTCTACAATTATTTATCTAAGAACAATGAAAGATATTCCATTAAATGTTGTGTAAAGCAAACTTTTAACGACTTTGTCTCAGCAAATTTATGAACCAATGCTAATATTCTTACAGGACACTGTAGACTTAATTACCACATGAAGATTATAGGTGCGATAGAACGTGTTTCCTATCGTCGGCAAGACGTAGACCCGACTACCTTGGAAGCGGAATCTTAGTCCCAAGTCAAATAGGTAGAATCAAGCTCACAGCAATTACGAGATTTATAAATAAACTAGAATTGTTTTAGTTGGGCCTTTAGGCGCACAATAGATCTTTCAGGTCGGGATGCATACATAGCCTATTTAATAACAATAATAGCAATATTACTTTAAACCGCTTAACAATTTACTTCAATATCAAACTTAATGTTGCTCCAACAACAAATACATTTATTTAAATAATAATGCAATAAAATTCAATAAATTGCATATGAAAAAAAAGTCAACAAAATTAAAACTTCAATTAGGTTTTGTGCTATTGAATGAAATAATGTAATCAAAAAACTTGTATAAATTGAATGCCACATTACATACCTATACGACGTCATTGGAGCGACAGCAGGTGTAGTCCATAATGTATTTAATCGAGCGAAGGCGTATATGCTTGGAAACGGCATACATTAGTTATTGATGGTAGGGCGTTGGCAATTATGTACGTTTTGTCTAAAAAAATCGTTGTATATTTTTAGGCAAAGGACATAGAAAATTTGTTAGCTTTTTTCGATTTATTTTGATTTATACGAAACTACACGCGTTGACAAGCCATTAACTAGCCCAGTTTATGGACGTGGGGACAGCTTCAGGACATATCGGCACAGTTCAAGCAAAACAATAACACATATTCGGTTACACAATTTGACATTTTTTCACATTATGTCCAAGTGTTGTTTAACAATGCCAACAAACCATTCGCCATACAAACCATACAAAAATATTTTTCTTTCACCTGAGCAAACAGCTGTTGTGGTAGTTTCTATTCACATATATCGACGTCAGTGTAGGCGTCTGAATTTGTGTCAATTGTGGAGCCAATGAGAGTTCGGCTCGGTGGCATGTGAACACATATTTGACTTTAAGTTTTTATTTAAATATTTCCATCATTGAATTATAAAATTTGTGTTGTGTTCATAAAAAAGAAAACTCTTAAATAAACATTTTAACATATCTTACTGTGTACCTTAGCCTGCTATCCAAAATTGATCTGTTTAAAGCTCAACCAAAAATATTTTTTGATTATTAAAAATCAAGTACAGTGATAGCAACTAATCCCATCCTAGCTTTTATTGTTATACTTGTAATGGTTACTTGCTTTTATCTGATATATTATATAAAAGTGCCTGCAACATTTTTTCTTATCTCGAATTTTGCCAATTAAAGCGGAAAATATTCTCATAAAACTTTAATCAAAAACAAAAAACAAACGAAACTGTTGATAAAAAATACTGTATAAAATTATATTAAAATCATGTCACCTGCAACCTTAAGGCAATTTATCTTCTTTACATGCGATAGAAAAACAAGAGGAAAAACAATGTTTGACATTCAATTTTGTTGTCAATTCTGTTGTCAATTTTGTTGTCACAATTTTTTTCTGTTTCTTATTTAAGTAATTTTTCCTTTTCACTTTTTTTTTATTTTCATTTTGGTTAGATATGGAAATATCCATTTGCTCATGTGTCAAAATTTCGGTTAATATCAGTGACTCAAGTAACGACACCAATACAAACAATACAAATAACGGTTATAAGAGGGAAGGACATCACAACGGCAAATTATTTGCATTTTAAACTTGCAAACATTGTGATGAAATGGACATCGAAGCACTACAATCAGCAAATACAATACAATACAATACATACTGGCATTAAATAGTCTGTAAACGGACACAACCTCTCTCTCACTTACAGCTATTCTCTAGCTTATCAAATATTAATAATACATAATACATAAGAAATATAATACAAGCAACAAATAGATGCTTTTACAAATATTTAGACTTAATGAAATCAAGACTACTATCCAAGGAAAGTAAGCTACGAATGTACAAGACAATAATAAGATCGGTAGCTACATATGGCTCAGAAACATGGACAATCACGAAGGCGAACGAAGAAGTTTTAAAAATTTTTGAAGGTAAATTGTTTGCCAAATCTACGGGCCAATCCAAATTGATGCAGAAACTTTTCAAAGACGAACAAATAATGAAATTGAAGAACTGCTTAGAAACGAAAATATAGTGAGATACATTAAGTCGCAAAGGTGACAATGGACTGCTCATGTAATAAGAATGGGGTCGGAGAGAAAGCCGAACAGCATATTCAACGCAAAGCCGATGATAACCAGGCACAGAGGTAGGCCAAGAACAAGATGGGATGAGAACGTGTATAGTGATGCAAGAACGATTGGAGAACTGAACTGGAAGAGAGTAGCAGAAGATAGGGACAGATGGAGGGTGGCCAAGGTTCATACTGGACTGTAGTGCCAAATAAGAAGACGAAGAATAATACATATTTTCTCTTTTCAATATAATTAAATTTTATTTAAATTTTAAAACAAATTTAGTAAAACGTATTAAACTAGGAAGAAGTAGAACATAAATGAGTAAAGTAAGCTCAATATAGAGCCTTGTAAATATAAGAATTGTACTTACGGATTATATATACAGTAGTATGAAGACTTAACTAAGACAATTATAGTCATAAATTTTTGGAAAAAAAACTTGCTTTGTATTTTTATTTCTTCAATTCTAATAAAAATTATTATTATCACTTTTCTTAACAAAAGAAGTCTAAAATAATTTGTTTTAAAAACTTTGAATTGTATGCAATATTTGACACAAAAACTTGCTTTAAAAAAATACAATTATTTATTTATTGTTATATCTAATAATATCTACCATTTCAGACCTTAGATTTGACTAACTTATATCTACATCTATCACACTGTATCTTTCACATATGTAAGTGCGATTATAGTCGCATTGGTAGTCGTCCAGCAAACAGCACTATCAACTTTGGAAAAAATTGATGGCATTTATTAAGTTAAGCCGATTAGGTGAGAAGTGAGTGTAGTTGGAAGATTGATGCTTCCCTTCCTTATCGCAAGTTATGTTAGTCTTATCAGTTTTGTACTTATATTTTGTAAAACGTCTACCCGTCATACCCTTTTATGAAATATGAAATAAAATTGTTTTCTTTCTATCACATAATGAAAACAATATTTGAATAATTTAATGTCGTTGATTTTGTATTTTTTTACGAAATTACATCTGCACTCTTCTCAGAATGCCCCTCAGAAGCATTCTGCATTCTCAGTAGATGGAATGGTTGTGCATGTAACCTTTTCATGAAGCAATAGCTGCAAGGAATAACAATGAGACAACAATTACGCAAATATTGGCGTTAAAGGGCAAATAAACAAGTTCCTTGGAATCCCAATAGAAAGAACTTACACCTACATTATTCAACTTTAACATTTCAAGTTGTTTCGAGGTATAATTTTAAAGTAATGAACAGAGTAGAGGATTCACGGTACTTGTGGTCATATTGAAAAGTGCACTATGATTTAACTGTTGAAAGAATTAAGATTTCAGTACAGTAGATTTGATGAATAAAAAATAATGCATTATAATATGGATCAGCTGCAAACAAAAAAAATATAAATAAAAATATATAGCAAAGGCTTCATATATGATTACTTATAATTTCCAGATGAAACTAAATAAGCAATAAGAAATATAAAGTTTAAAATCCGACCATTTTTTCCAGGATTATTGCAGAAAGCTCCATAACATAGATACTCTCTACTGTTAAAGAAAAAAACAATTTTGATTAACTTTTAAATAATTTTATTCCAAAAATATATAAAGAAATATTTACTGAGTAGCAAAATAAAATTCACAATTTTTAATTTTATATTTACTGTATAATTTTGTCCGTGGAAAAAAATTATTGAATGCACAAAAAAATTCACCGCTTGCTTTTTCTATATATAACTATTACCCTGTGTGTTCTCTTCAAGACCCATGGTTCCCATAAATATTTTAAGCAACGTATATATAAGTATTGCGATCCTTATCAGCACGCACTAAATAGTCCTTCGAAATAAGACTATCAATTTCACTCTTAATTACCACAACTGAGGGCACAAAACGGGACTTAACTTGATTCATTACTTCGGACACTAGATTAGAATGAGTCATAGTCTTTGACGACTTCATAATGCGCACAATAGCAGCATCGATCTCCACTCTACGATCCTGTTCAGACGACTGTTTAACTACCTTACGGTCTACATGTGCATTATCATTGCATTCATAATAGCTCATATTGTAAAATGAGACCCTAGAATATTTTGACCAGTAATCAGAATTTAGTGTGAATTTATCAGATGGATTTGCAGATTTTGAATGCGTTTCGCTGCTACGTAACAATAAACGCTGACTCTTCTTACCCTTGGCCAGAAACGTCAAAGCTCGGAACAAATCTTTTTCACTCAAGTCAGTTTCCTTTGATATAGTCTCGTACGAAACTACTTTACTCTCATTAAACAGTAGCAATATGCACATCTGTGCTGTGGTCACATCAAGCACATATCGACGATCATTACCACTACCTTGGGTTTCTGCATTAATATTGGCACTTAGAATTCCAGTCGCAAATTGTGGCTGCAAAATCAATATTTTTCCAGGATATTTCTCTAAATACACTGTTTTGAAGGTTTCGAATGCGATTTGAAGGTCAGTTGGAATAATGCAGTTTGGTGATTTGCTAGGAACTGGCCAGTAAGCCGTAGTTAACACACTAACTGCTAAATCGAAACTAGGAGCAGGAAGTCGGCGATGAACACACATATCCTTGAATTCGTCATTTATAATTTTCGATAGGGTTCTATCTTTAAACATGCCATCTAAATTTTTTGTGTACATGTAACCGATTTCAGTTTTCAAACGACTAATCATGTTTAATTCGAGATCCTCTATTATGTGTTTGTGAATAAGTAGGCGTCGAGCTAAATGAATCTGATAGAATCGCTCGAAAATGTCTTTGTCTTCTAGATACCGATGTAATACCATAACATTGTCAAGAACCAAATTTGTTTGTGTTTCATTTTCGCACACACTTCCCTTTACTAATTCATCGTGTATATACAAAGAAATATATTCAGCAGATGACCGATTCATATTCACCAAAAACTCCATATCGTTCATCACTTGACGTCTTAGCGTCGCGTTATCATCAAACGAACGTAGAAGTATCTCTTCAAATTGATCTTTCAGACTAAGCAGCGTCTTAACAAAGAAAACAGCATTGATTTTAGAATTTTCCTCCGGTATAAGAACTTCACTTTGCTTGCGTAAGTATTCGGAAACAGTTTCGGCGATTATTTTTACACCCTCTTCATTGATCAACTGAAATACCTTATATAAACGAGCTAAATCTTCGTACCGGCTATGTTGCAACATACACCACACTCCAGTCTCAGGCATATCAATTAATATACGAATATTCTTTCTAATAAGATTTTCTTCAATCACCTTTATAATGAGCGGCTCAGTTCCCTTGTCCAAGTAGTTAGTGACACGATTGCATTCCTCAGCTATGTGATCTTCAATTTTCGATAAAAAGGCGCAGGCATCATTGGCTGCCAAGTAAATTTGAGACTTTGCTTTGTAATACAAACCAGAAGCAGCCAAATGATGATTTTCAAATATTGAAACATAATGTTCACGAGAATCGATACCCATTTTAATAAGCATTTCGCAGATATTACGAACAAGATCCTGGTTGATCAATTTACCACTGCGTTCCTCATCTATTAGTTCCAGCAAATTATCACGTATGGCATCGCGTATTTGTTGCTCCCGAATAATGTGATCGCGGAAAAGCAATAGGCTCAAGTTATAAGTGCTGACTAGACCTCTCTGCTGCACATGTATGCGATCCAAGTACATCAAAATATCGCACATCATACCGGTAGTAAGCTGATAATCTGCCCATGCCTTATTCAGATTTAGCAAAAAATTGTTCTGTAGACCGTTTTTGATATTAGCGAGAACGTTTGTTTTAAGATGATCGGCGACAACCTGTCTATAGACGATATATAAACGTTTGCCTTGCTTGTGAAGCACTAGGTTGTATGTGCGGCGATACAATTCTTCAAAAGTGTACTTAGTGCCCTTATATCTTTGTATCTCCTGGAATGCATCCTTTAAGGTATGCAAAATGCCATCCAAAGCCGTGAGATCTAAATGTGGTGCAAAATCAGCTAAGATCATGCATTCATCCATGGTTGCAGATTCGTAGGAAGTACTTTTTGAAAAATTTTTTTTTGTGCGCCAAAAGATATATGTATGAGAAATTGAGGAAAATATTTACTACCCTAAAAATATATTTCATTAAAATGATTTAATTTTTATTTTTTGACAATGATAAGTTTGTTGTTTTAAAAATATAATTTGAAACTATCCAAATCAAATACCGAAAACTAAATGTTATAAAAGTCTAACAAAAATGTATTGTTTGTCATAACTTAAGTACTGATCATGGAAAAATCTATTAAAAATCTATTAAAAAGATGTATTAATCTATCTATTAAAAATCCATTAAAACTTGACTTTAAAGACTTTAAAGAAAAAGTCATAGTTTGACATCATTAATTAATTAGTTGATATAAAGAATATTGGCTTATATAGTTGATTCTATAGAAATGTCGAAATGTCGAGAGAATTCCAGTTTAAGCAGAACATATTTGTAATTATTTTAATTGAAATTAAATGGCAAAATTCTCCAAATTAAAATCTAAAAGGAAAATATGTGTATAATTTACACGCAATTATTTTGCTATTGTTTATTTTACATTTAAACAACCAAATTAAAAATTATATTAATAACATTAAAAAAACTAATTAAAGAATTTAATTATATTTCGAATTCATATTTCAAAACACACATAGCATATTTTAAATGTTAATTAGCTGATATTAACAAATAAATTTAATAGAAATTGGAATTGAAATTGGAATTCAGAGTACCAACTACTGCCCACCTATAAATTTTGGCAAAGCAACAATTATTACAAAGATTTAACAAAAACCATTCGCATGATTAATGACCGCAAACTAATTGCCTTCTCCTGATGGTCTTTATTCTGCGCCGCATATCAAGGATAATGTAATGACAACAAAAGAATATAGCATTTTGGGCAAAAAGCAATAGATTGTCTGCCATCTTTCACCAAAATTCGTTTTTGTGACTGCTGCAAACCTCGACAATAGCTCACGAGACAGACTTTGAAATTTATTGCCGTGCGACAAATTCAGCAGATGACTAATTGCAATGCTGAAAGGAAAACGAGCTTCTCTGGCTAGACTTATGTATAGTGTGGGTGTGGGTATGGGTGTGGGTGTAGATGTGGATATGGTTGGATTTTTATACATTTCAGATCGTTATAAGCATTTCACATTTTATTTAGTTCAACTTGCATGGAGATAATGCAACACCTTCAGACAGACTAGATCCACCTATATTTGAATTTTTCAAATTCCATTACTTTTTTGTGATTAAATGACTGTTAAATTATTATAATGAAAATAAAAACAGAGAGCTCACTTGAATCATTTAGTAAATCCATCTATTGTTAACTTAAAAAACGTTTCCTTAAGTTTTTATTCAATTTAATTATATTTAGAATCTTACCTCAGAGAAACTTCCTTAAAAAATTTTATTGATTTCCCTTAATGAAAATAAGTTATTTTATTTCCATTATGATTCTCTATTAAAAAAAAAATTATATGATATTTACAAAGATAAATATTTTGACAGAAAACGCATTAAAATAGAATAAACTTAAAAATATCATATGCCAGGTATTTTTAATAATTTTTAATTACATTCAGACATTAGAACAACAGACATGCATAGAGATCTAATAATCGACTCAGTGAAAAAATATATCAAGGACAGAACCCTAAAATTACTCACAAAAGTTGATACGTTGCCTATCCCCGCCCTAACAAACCTTAAGTCCAACTCAGGGTGCACAGAAAGATGTGCTGATTTACGGTCCGTCATCAGTTAAAAGATAAATGATAATAAATCTAGTATAGTTAAAGTTTAGGTTATTAGTAATCTAAACGATCCTCAAGACGAATAATGCTGTATTATCAAAATGTTGGGCACCTTATCAATTCGCAAGGTTAATGTCTTGAGGTCATACCACTGTGAATACTGTAAAAGCAACTAAGGAGGATACGATGCATATATGACATACTTTTACTGATGGGATTTTGAATATCAATAAATCAATTACGAATATGGAAAGGATTAGTACCCACAAAGGCCTAGAGCACATTTTAACACTGTTTATTTCATTATTTAAGAATGTTTAGTAAACCATATCACTTTAATAGTAAATCTTATAAATTTTAATATGAATGACTATACTATGCTGTGTTACTTCTTCAAATTAAAAATATATTCAAGATTCTATCCCTCAAAAGAGCAGGATAATGATCAATCGTTGTTTCTTCTTTGTACTCATCAAGTAATATGATGAATTAGAAAATCAGAAGTTTTTGATATAATCACATAATATAGAAGCACCGATATTCACAAATAACAAATGCTTAGTTTCTGACGCAATATGAAATACGATAGGGATCGGGCATACTTATCGATAACATCTTCGAAGATATTTAAAATTGTTTTAGAATATATGATTGAAGTACTCTATAAATTATATTACTGACTTCAAAATAACAGCATATCAGAAATCAAATCACTCATCAACACTCAAACACACTCACAATATGTAAGCAGCGCCATCTATAATAGATCATTGCAATAACAATTAACTTAAAAAAGAAACGTTTTTTGTTAATACCTTTTAAAAATATGTCCTAAGCCTTGACATATCATACTCGTATTTTAGAAATTCTAGTCTTATTGATAGTTCTAAGCAGAAATACTTGGAAAATATATAATTTACGCTTCAAAATCAATGTGGTTGTATATAAATGATTTTAAAACGTAATAATTTTCCACAAATATTTGCTGAAAGCGATAGTAAGTAAATTCACATTCATTTTCCGTGCGTGTCTTCCTCTTCCTGTCGGTTTTCCTACAGATCTGTTGTAATTTTGCGTTTAATGAATTTTTTGATTTATGCGTTTTTGCGTTTTTCCCGGGCGCTGGAACCGTTTTCTATCTGAATTTTAACATTCAAATAATTTTGTTTGTGTTGTGTAGTTGCACAGTTTTTGTGTAAATTCAAATGTGAACATTTTGGTTGGTGTTCGCGTTGTTCTTCCCTGGTATGTTCAATATTTTTAATTTCCCACAAGAATTAAAGTTGCAACATTTCATTAGTTTTCTGTTTCGTAAATCACAGCATGTACGGGAATTCTGAACAAGAAGTGTCCTGGTGTGTTGGAATAGTCTAATGCGAAACTCATGATTTACTTCATTCAAATTTCAAAATAAATTCAGGTATTTTATGCAATTAAAGCGATTTGTTCCATATTTTCGCTTTCAACAATGAAAATGTTTATATAAAAATTTTCAATAGGAATTTTTCTCATATTTGTAGTGTATTTTTAGCCCAGTTAAGCATTACATTAAAACTAAGGAATTTTGGTCAGAAATCAACCTATCCCGAGCAAATTTATTTAAGAGAGTGGGAATTATTACGAAACACTGCCCGTTGGGGGGGACCTACCGTGAGGCTCAATATCAGGATCTCCTTGCACTGTAGACATTGCATGGAGAATGAAGAAGAGGCATCACCAACACACCCTCTGTTTCAGTGTCCTGCTTTCGCAAAACATAAACTCTCCCACTTAGGGTCGCACTTTTTCAATTCTTTAAGCTAAATGTGCTAAATTCTATTTTCCTAGCTCGTGTTAATGGCTTTGTGGGCAGTACTAAATAGTTATAGTGACAGGTGTCAAATTCTTAAGGATATCACAATGGACCTTATGGTCTAAGTGCGTCTACGGACGGCCCCTAACCTAACCTAATTTACTATTATTTACTATTAGTATATTAATAATACATGTTTGTTTCATTGAAACAAAAATATTTACAAGTGAATCCATTTTCTCTGACTTAATTACTTTAGTAAATAAAGTTATATTCATTTTTTTTGGTTTTATAAGAAAACAAAATAAAATAAAATAAAATAAATAAATTTAGGTATATAATAATATAGAAATAAATGAAAGAAATTACATCAATCAATTCAAATAAATTAAATTATGGCAATTTTTTGTGCTCAACTTTAAGTTATCGGGATAATTCAACGAAATTGCCTTAATTCATTTCGGTTGCAATTAATTAATGATAAATTAATGATAAATTTGTTAAAGTTTCATCAAGTACAATTAAAAGGGTTCAACAAGTTTAGTTACTTCTTTCGTCCTTTATTTTCTTCCTTATTTGTTTCTCTTGACGCGCTTCGCAGTGTCTTTTGCCGCCGCAATTTTTGGCTAAATTTTCCGCATTAAATATTTACGGTCAATCATAATCCGTTGGGATGAAAAATGAAAATAAATGGAAAATTACTTTCCAACACTGTTAAATACGATAAAGGAAAATTTTAAATATCCTGCTGTCCTTCAAATTGGATTTGCAACAAGTTGCCTATGTATGTACATAAATTTACTTTCCGGAGCACGTACCATCCATGAGCCATGTACCATGTACCATATACCATGTGCCAAGTGCTTATTTTCCTTTCTGCTGAAGCCCTAATATTAAGTTGATTTGCTGAAAAACCTAAATCAATGGATTCTCTCCTTATTGCTTATGTGTACATTTTTTAAATTGTATTATTTTTGAGAAACAATTTCATTTTATTTTCCGTATTTCACTGTGTTACTGTGTTACTGTGTGAAAACTTATAAAAAGCATTTGCTATTAATTTCGGCCGAAAATTCTAAGGAACCGAGTTATTACATGAATAATTGATTTATATGTATTCAAAAGGGAAAAAGGAAGCTGAATAACTCGATTTACTTTAAGAGCAAATTTTCTTTATGAACTTATTATGTTTTTTGAAAATGGAAGTATTTAAATTAAATATTTAAATTTAATTATATGTAATGTACTCGTAATGAGCTTTACAATAAGACAGCTTCAAATCCTTTTATTGGGCGAGCGCAGCATAAATGCTTATTGAATTCTTACTACGTATGAATACTTGAGTACTTAAGCTCTTGAGTTTATATGTGAACATCTATATTGTTGTTGTGATGTATGTTTGGAACTGTGTATCGTAATAACATTGATT